TGGGGGGGGGGGGGGTATGTTTCTGCACACCCCTCGTTGCCATGGCAATAGCTGGCCCACCCACACAAAATGCACCTACTAAAAAAAACTAATCTGAAGTTGTGAGAAGATGTTAGACATAGATCTTTAAGTATGGATTTCGGGTCGTGACTAAAATAATAGCTATTTTTTACAAGTTTAAACACAGAGCAGTAAATATCAAAATTGAGCATCAGTTGTCTGTACAAAAAATAAAAAAGTTTAGAAGATGTATAAACTTTGCTGTAATTCAAGGTTATTAGTAGTTTAGCAAATGTATAGTGTGCCACATTATTTATTAGACTTTTTGACAACTTTATGTAACATTTTATACACTTTTTTGTCATCGGATAGCCGAGTTTATTCATTTGTAGTATTTATTTAGGGTCAGTGAATTAAATAATAGCTTTTTTTTTTACAGGCTTGAACTTCGAGCATTAAATATCAAAATTGAGCATCAGTTGTCTGTAAAAAAAAAAAAAAGTTCAGGAGACGTATCAACTGTGCTGTTTTCAAGATTATTAGTAGTATAGCAAATGTATAGAGTGCCACATTATTTATTAGACTTTATATAAGATTTTTAGCTACTTTTCTTTCCTCGGATAGCAGAGTTTATACATTTGTAGTGTTTATTTAGGGTCAGTGAATGAAATAATAACTTCTTTTTACAAGCTTGAACTCCAAGTATTAAATATCAAAATTGAACATAGTCGTCTGTACAAAAAAGAAAAAAAGAATTTTTCAGAATCTGTATAAACTCTGAAACATGTGTCTAAACGACCAGTGAAGAATGAACGAGTAGATAGATCTTCATGCATACCAAAAGTGAAGTTACATTCTTGCAGTCAAATAATGACAAATAACTTGCAAACCTCCATCCATATATTTTTCTATACCCTTACAGGCAGTAGTAGGGTTATGGGCGGTTGGAGCCTATCCTAGCAGCCATTGGGCCAGCAGTGGTGGACACTCACTGGTTTAGATCATGAACAGAGGAGTCCAGAATAATGTTTTTTTCTTATACCATGGTGATTGTCCCTATCCACATAACAGTCCAGCAGCTCCCTACGGTCAGTTCCCCATGTCCAGTTGGCCACTGACACCAACCAGGACATCCTTTTCTTGAGCCAGGGAAGCGTGGGAAGTTTCCACACTGTTCAGTCTCCTGTCAAACTCACTTATACCGCCCTCTCCATCAGTTTTCATACAGTTAACTTCTGTTTCTGTGCTAACGCTAAGAGGGGAGTCCGGGCTGCCGTTCCACTCCGTTGTTTGGTCCATTTGGGACGCATTTGTCCACTCGTGATGAAATAAAGTCACTTAATTTGAGTTTCAAACAAAGTTTGAACGCTTAAAAGGTCCAAAATGTAGAAATGTAACAGATTTTTGCGGGAGGTGTTGATGACCTGTGTATTCACCACTTTTCTGGGTGATCAGGACGTCCCCTGTGATGCTGACTGTGGTCAGTTCAGTTTAGTGTTGACAACAATGCTTGTCTCACTAATATACTTTTTTTTTTAATCAAATGTTTCCTTAAAGATAAATTCTGAAACGTCTCAAAAATTTTCGAATTTATATACAGACAATCATCCATTTATTGTCCATACTGCTTATTCCTAGTAGGGTTGAGGGAAACGCATTGATTAATTAATAATAAGCATTATCTTAATTGTAATCTAAGACTACACACACCACTGTTCCCCTCCAGTCTTTGAGAAAGTGATGTAATACAGGGAAACTAAGGGGCAAAATGGGGGAAAAAAAACAATTGAGTGTGTCTCAACTCATCTCCCCACAAACTGCTGACATCTGTCACAGCTAGCAACTGGCTTAACCAATAAGAGCCCGGAAGGGAGCTAAGTGGTCACCGCACCTAGGAAACAACCTCGGCTGGGGTAATCCCGTCCAACAGGATTTGACCAGACTGGTCAGGTGGCGTCCAGCCAGGGTCCACGGGGGACCCTTCACAGTCTTTAGCTCATTATTAATCATGAAGCACACATTCCTCTACAAAAAACAAACAAACAAACCAAAAAAAAGCTACGTTTAATCCGGCTTTCAGGTTTTAGGTTTCTTGACCAAAAATGTTTTTTTTTTATTTGTGCTTTTTACAACAATGGTAATTATTTGTTAGATAGATGGCTTAAATGAATCTTCCACCACTTATTTAATCAGAGACGACATTTGAAATGAAGTACTCTGTACATTTAAAAAACAACTGCAGTTAAAATATTTACTGTGCCACATTATTTATTAGACTTTTTGACAGCTTAATGTAATATTCTTTATAAATTTAACATACAAATGACACATTTCTTTCTAAGAAATATCATTACTTTGCACTAGAGTTTGCCAAAACTGTTTATATTAGCTAAAGTCATGAAATATTGTCTTTAAATAAGCAATCAGTACTAACAAGTACGATCAGGTCTAGATGAGAAGATATTTTAATTAACAAAACACTTTAATTAATACTTTACTTCTCCTGAAGAGTGTTTTCTGCTGTGCATTTTTGATTTTTTACATTAAGAACATCCACAACTGTTCTATTACTGAGTATAAAACTTAGTATACTGTGAACTAATATGAATCCTTGTCTGGTTTAAGGTCGGGATTTTAGAAATCCCACGGGGCATGCTTTGTATATTTAGCATATTCTATTCATGCTCTCTAATCAGATGACGAGGAAATCCCCATCCAGAACACAAAATACTACTTAATTCAAATGGCTTCCCATCATTTTTGTGTATTAAGTTCTACAGCACGCTCTTTGATGTTTTAATTAAAGTGCTGCTCTGCTTTACCTTCACACCCGTGATGATAAAGGTCCTCACTCCCCTCCGTTTTTAATCCGCACTATGACAATGACTCACTCAAATAGCTTTTCATCATTTTTATTCATTACTCCACTGCTTGGCTATATAATGTTATCATCGAACTCAACTAATAAATAAAAGTACGCACTATTCACATTCAAGTGTCTATTTTACTCAGCAAAATCAGAAGTCGTCATTTAGAAAATAATCTCTGAAATATTCCCTAATTTTGAAGAATCACAATTTCTGACCTTTATAGATGGACATTTGCTTATATACCACTTTTCTAGTCAAGGCAAAAGCCCATTTACACTACATGTCTGCATTATTAACCTTCCATACACAGATTTGCTTCTTTCTTTTTTTTATTTTATTTCTATCATTACCTGTTTATCTTTTAATCTTTCGATAATCACATTCTGGTTTCATCCGAGGCCCCCTACAGTTCTCCCATTTCACATCTTTTCCCCTTTGTCTAATCCCAAAATCTTGATTAGGGACCAAATGTTCTCCTTTCTCTTTCTCAGATCAGAAAGGCTTATCTAATAAGAGTCTGAGTTGAAAGACTTAAATGAAAAAAATCACCGGATATCTCAAGATTCTGAAGGTAGTTAAAGGCACAACATATATATATAGCTATTTATTTAAAAATAAACAGCTCTGTCTGTCTTGAAATTGAATTTTAAATGAACAGTTTTATTTAACTGTAAGAATAACAGATATAAGAGCAGCCCGCATGAAGAAAAATGGTCTTTTACCTGATACGTGAATATCTGGAGGACAGATGTCGGGAGAAGGCGAGGACACTGGAGCTGGTTCCTCTGCGCAGATCTGCACAAAACACACACAAACACACACACACACACACACACACACGCAAACGCGCAAGCAAAAACAATGAATAAAGTAAAAATATACAACGATGCTCACTGCTCAATAAGAATATAGCTAAATTACGAGAATAAAATATATCTTTGTCCTTTTGTGACATAAAACGGTGTGTGGATGAGCTCCATTATCTGTCTGTAGTCTTTACCAGGTTTCCCCATGGAGGCCATAGGTGGTTGAAGCTGATGGTTTTTGGGTTCTGTAGTTTTTTTCTGCATATTTTCTTTGTATTTCAGTTCTTTTTTTAATTTCTGTCATGTGTGGTATCAGAATTATACCAATCATATCAATCAATTATATCCAAAAACTCTCTATATATGATTCTTTTGTCTATAATGGGATGTACAAACTCAAAATACATTTGGGAAGTGCCATTATTGATTATTTTTTCTAAAAAAACTACTAATATTTTCGCTTTTACTGCTGGTTTGTTGCTATTAGAAGCGGTAGAATAAATTCCATTACAGTTTGGGAATGCCAGAACAGGGCAGCTGACCTCGGGTGATCTGATGTGGACTTTTAAGCGTCCAGAGCTGTGGCTGTTGCCTGTGGCCCGTTGGACTCCATTGTGGAGAGACGTGCTGCTCGGAAACAGCCCTTTCCCTGGGATGAAGGCTATTTCCACCGTACTCTCTTGGCTAAGGGGAAAAAAACAAACAGATAAAACAAAATAAAATAATAAACTGATACAAAAAGTCACAAATGTTCACAGCTATCAAAGAAGCAAGCCGAGATACTAAAGTTAAACTTGATCACCTTGTCTGCTTTCATTGTCTTCATGTTGTTTTCTGAATTTATACTTACATATTCCGATTTATGTTAAAAGTTCAAACGCAACTCACCTGAATTTGACTTTGTTCAACATGCTTTTGGCCTCTTCGTGGGTCACACCTATCAAAGACTCCTTGTTTATGGCAATAAGCTGATCTCCAGGCCTCAAGCGTCCATCCTGCAGCGAGAAAAGAACTTTTAGTGGCACCAGCTTTTCTTCTAAGCTTAAGAATATCTACGACTGTTCTCCTTCTATGATTTCTTATGAGCAGTGGTGTTTAACTTCCTGTCCATGGAATCATGGCGACACAGACACAGACACTGTCATTACTTCCCCAGTAGCATCTAGACATTGTCACAATTAAATGAAAAATCTGTTTCCACAGCTCTGATAAGTAGGTGTCTCCCTATAAAATGAATTGAAGAAAAGACCTATTACTAAAAATCTAACCAAAACATGTGTCACCACACTTCAATTTTTTTGTTAAAACCTCCAAAATGTGCTTATTTTCTTAAAAATGACACTCAAATACCGAAATAAAGTATAGAAATTTAAATGTATGCAAAAATATAACACATCCCATAATGTGTGACTGGCTTTTGGTGATTATTGATATGCCTAATTCGAAATGCACATTAGGTTTTACAGCATGTGAAAGTATTCTTCTATATTCATTGGCATGGTAACACAAAAAACAAGCCTTTAAATAAAATACTTTTTAGTACTGGCATGAAAAAAAGACAGCTAAAACAAGAAAATGGAAGAAGAAACGAAAAAGAATCTGAAAATTGAACAATTTATGCTGCATTTTAAACAGCATGTTGGACATTGATGGAGCAAATTAGCTTTTTCACATGAGCACTTTTTTTTCCAAATTTGGTGATACTAAACAATAGTCATTTTTGAAAAAATTGATGCTACAAATGTGTTGTTCTTCCAATACCACTCTAGTGTAAAAGATGGCTAATCAGCTCACTTCTGCTAGTTTTAGCTTGGAATACTTTATGGACAGAGTTCAGACAACTGTGGTGTGTGTTGGTAAGCTATGGCTAAACACACTGCTCTCTACGGTGAATAACCATGTAGTTATGTCTTAATCAGAGGCATTTTCGTTGACCGTGTTCTTGACTGTAAGTGCATGAGTGACATGTTCCATTCTGCGGATGACACTGGCTCTTACGTGAGGACCTACATTTGCTTCTACGAGCTTCTACGCACTGTAGAACTTTTCAGTTTTCAATATTTGGCTGATGTTTAAGGCACATTGTCGGCTGTTTGGATGAGTTTGCTTGCTGAATCTGCTGGTGTGCTATGTCCTGTCTCCACCTCTTCCACCCTCTACACTTTCAGTACTCCTTACCCAAACCAGGGTTTGAATCCCAGCCCTACTTATCTTGACCTCTATGTCTTCCCCCTCACATGAACCTGGGTTTGCATCCCCACTCAATCTTACATCGCAGTTTAACTGATGAATTTAGGGAAATATTCACTGAGTCTGGTCTATTTATTAGAAGGAGTCATCTGTGTAGCGAAAGCTCCCCATTAGCATGTAAGATCAATTTTAAAACTGAAATTAACCGGTTGACGACACAAACCATGATTCATAACATAATACAAACCTGTTGTTCAGACCTTTTGGTTTTGAAAAGCTAAATTATGTCCAGTACAGATGAAAAGAAGCACAAATAATGCTGGAGTGACTGAAACCGGTGACACTAAGATGACCTCAGCTCGGGAGATTTTATTTCCAACATGTTGATACTCATTGATAATCATCGTATGGTGACCCAGACAGTAAAATCCAAGACCTCCTCCACTGCTAAATATTACAGCCCAACATCATCTTTTCATTTAATCTACATGTAAATCTATTTCATTGTTTGGTCCTGTTGGTTTTTTTTTTGGTTTGTTGTTTTTCCACCATTACTCCAGTACTGTTCCAACCAGTGCAAGGCAGCATAATCCCCCCCCCCCCCCCCCCCGCTGACTCATGGCATACAAATTCAAAGCTTGCTTTCTATGTGACACAAAGGATTACATGTTGTGATTTGGATTAAAGGGACAACATGCGGAAAAAAGAGCCGAACACAGGAAAGACACCGTGAGCTGTGAGGTAAAGGCGTCTGGAATCATGCAACGTCGCGTGATTCCAAATGACTTTATGAACGAGTGATGAGATGTGGAGATGTGGCCGCACACGTGCTGATGGAGATTTTAAGAGAGAAGGCTACCCGAAAAACACACTGATAGAAATGTCAGCTGCTATCCAGCAATACACCGGATACAAATCCAGCACAAATGCTGCATTTAGGAGCTTCCAGAGGCTAATATGAAGCCTGTACTGGACTAGTCAGGCAAAACTGTCCAGATCATGGTTGAAATTAATATTGTTTTGCCACTATTCCAGTTTCTGCTATTGCCTCAATCAATGTCTCGTATTTCGACTTTGTCTTCAGTTCCACATATCTTCACTAACACTTTTTGGGTCTACCTATTTCGAATTATTCTTGATTTATTGGTTTCTGGGGACCTTTGTTGGGTTTTACTGATGGAGTAAGAAATCAAATCTGCATTTTTTGTTTTATTTTACGCGACAGCTCATTAAAATCCATCCATCTGTTCTCTATACACACATTACTCATCAAAATCAGCAATTTTAAAGAATCCTTTTGAAAACTGCAGCTGTAGTTTGTCACTGCTAACAGGAAATGGCCTACAATATAAATATGTAACGTAATACATTAACTTTACACTCATTTGACCCCAGGATAGTTGTTTACTTTCATGGAGATATGAGATATTAAACTTTAAACTGAGACACTTGTTGAAGAATGTGGAAATGACTGTTGATGTTTGCTGGGTTTTACAAGCTGAAGTTCATTTAAATGTATCCTACAGATGCACATTTTTCTTTGAAATATCAATACAATGATCCCTTTTGCAGTGTCTCCTCTATTCTATATCATTCACTTGGCAGTACATCAGAGCCAAAGATCAGGACATGCTGCTCCTATGGCAACACATTACATTCTGCTTGAAAGATTGTAACTGGATAATCCCATTTAGAGACAGTATTGGCATATTAAACACAAAGAAAAGCCCTCTTCAATCTGAGGCTGGAAATGTGCCTCCTGTTTGACCTCGTATCAGCAACCATCTCCATTCTGAGCATCACTACTCACCTACCGGCCTTCACAGGACGCTCATTAGCAGTGGACAGACAATAAGTCAGGCTTCTGACAGATTTATAGGATAAAGGCAAATGTATATGACAAATGGTCCATGTGGGGTTAGTGGAAGAGCTCTGTATTCTGTTTAACTTGAGAAAGGAGCCCAGGCTGAGGCCGTAAGGGCATTTAGTTTCCCCACTTTGGAGGTTTTTTCTGAGCACGTCCTACTGAGAAGAAGCCCAGTTAGAACCCAGAGGCATTATGTATCCCTTCTGGTCTTAGAAAGCTTTGGAGTCCTCCAGGAGAAGCCAGGGAGAATAACGGGGGTAAAGAGTTTGTCTTTGCGACCCAAACTCAGATAAAAAGCAGATAAAAAAGGGACAGCTCATTCAATGGGTCAGGGCAGAATCAGCCATGGTGTTAGTAGCACGTATTACTATATTATAACCAATTACAGACAAGCAAAACCCTGAAATATCGAAAAGTAAGTTTAAATAATAAGTGGCTGGTTTTGCTGATCTTATCCTATTGCTGAGTTATCTGATTTAATGCTCAGCATGCCTTCATTCATAATAAAGCCTCATGCTTGGACAATGTAGTTTCCCTTTTAGTTGGAAAAATTAGCCACATCTCTTTGTGTTCTCTGTAAAACACATTTTAGTCTATTTTTGCCAGGTCCGTGTCTGAGGAATATATTTAAACTTTCAAAAAACGATTGAAAAATAGTTTGTATATTTTCATATTCATTCATAGTTAGTCCTATTCATAATAAGGAGAAAGTAATATCAACCTCAAAGTCTCTTGACTTTTTAGAGATAAAAACCATCATTCCTTTTGAATTGGTTCTGATTGAACTGAACATTTCTGGATGTTAGTCAGTTAACTAAATTTGGGTTGTTTTAAAATTAGCCAGTGACTTTTTTTTGTCATAACCCATAGTCAACCCAACGTTTATATATACAACCTCAGTGTGTAGCACTGATACTAAGCTGTGACTGTGGATTATGGTGGTTTTAAATCAAGGAAACTGCTTAAGATTACACGGATCAACAACAATATACTTTACAAGAATGAGCATCAAGTTGCTGAGTTGTTATTAATTGGCTCCGCACATAAACATGCATTTTAAAGATATTTAATTTGATGGGAAATTCTCATCCCAAGTCAGTTCTATAGGGCAAGAAACAAAAAGGTTTAGTGTTGTTTAGTGATAACTGAAGACAATAGTTTATGTTTGTATATCTATCTATCTATCTATCTATCTATCTATCTATCTATCTATCTAT